GAGGTTGCTGTGAGCTGTGATGCCACAGCACTCTACTGAGGGTGACATAGTAAGACTGTCTCAAAAAAAAAAAAAAAAAAGACTGTTTCCCTAAAAAGCAGTCTGGTGACTTGCCTAGAAAAAATCTGCATAACCAGGTTAACCCCTTTGCTCTAGAGCTAGCAAATACCACCTATCAGCAAGCCTGCCCTGAAGCTATAGATAATCACCTTCCTGCCAGGCACTAAGCATGTACACTGGCTGAAGTGCACAAGTGCTATAGATGGTCTCCCCCAGATACTTTTATCTACTCTATCACTAACAGCTGAGGACCTTGACCCATGGAGAGGCTAAGCAGCCTTCCCAGGACCTAGAAGCAGGCAAAGATGGAACAGAATCCACCCTGTTGATTGAAGGATCACACTACTGGCAACTCCTGCCAGAATTACCACTGCCTTAGGTCTTTGGAGGCCCAGATAGAGGAGTATCCACCACCAGGAGGCTCTGTCTGGACCCCACCTTGGGCTCCCTTTCCAGAGCAGGGCTGCAGGGCCACATTCTAAGGGAAATAGCCAGGGGCCTGTGAGAGTCTAAGAGAACAGACAGCTGCCCATCCAAATCTCCAACTAACAGTAAATTAGCACCCAGGCTTCCTGCAAGGATTAAGGGAGATGATGCAGGGAGAGTGTCCACTAGAGCTGGCCCATGGCAGTGCTTGATGTGGGAGTGATCAAAAAGTGGCTTCCTGCACTGACTGTCCAGGGGCTCAGAGAGCACCTCCCATGTAGACAGGGACCAGGAGACTTCCAAGCTGCCAGGAATATCAAGGGGCTTTCCCACTTCTCTGCCTCATATCCAATAGTCTTTAGGGTCAAGCCCATCCAAAACCGTGGGGTGCTCCCCACCCCCATACTGTAGGTGTTCAGATTATGAGAAGCATGGCTAGTGGCCAAGCTCTAGAGGGCACTTCCAAGGCTTCCAATGGAGAGGATGCAAAGAACTCCACACCTTCACACTTGGAGGGTCTCAGTTTTTACTTTCAACCTTGGAACTGCTTTAACTATGGTGAAAGAAGGGGTGAAAATCAGA